ATGTGTGCCGCCCGTGTCACTGTTGCTGGACGTCATACCACTGTTCTGTTTTACGTACTGGACCACTGCCCACATGACATAATTTTGGGACTCGATTTTCTGTCGGAGTATTCCGCCCTAATTGACTGTTCTGCTGGTGTTGTTCAGCTCGTCCTACCACACGCCGTCGACCCTCCTGATCCTGCGCCGCCAAAGCTATGCTCCGCCGACTTTGTTCGCCTATCTTGTCGAGCTGTGACGTATATCGACGTCTCTTCTGATCCACCTGTGGCTGACGCCGATTATGTCATTTCACCTAATCCTACAGTACTCTGTTCGCTCAATGTTGCGTTCCCCCACACCATCATCATAATGAAGGGTAACGTGGCATGTCTCCCTATTGTGAATTTTGGACTTTGCTCTGAAGTGCTGCCATGAGGAATATCCCTTGCAACCTTTGCCCCGGCCGGCGACTACCACATATCGGCCTTAACAGAGGATACTCCGTCATTTGAAGGTATTCAGTCGCGCAGTACACTAGACTACATAACTGGAATGATTGCCTCTGATCTCCCGGCCGAGCATGTGTCTGCGCTTCGTGGCCTTCTTGCGTCGTATCAAGACGTCTTTGATCTCTGCGACCGACCCCTAGGTCAAACGACCGTCGTAAAGCATCGGATCAACACCAGTGATGCAAATCCAGTACACCGGCGACCCTATCGGTTTTCCTCCACTGAGCGCCACGTGATCCAGCAAGAAGTCGACAAGATGCTTGCCCGAGACATCATTGAACCTTCTTCAAATCCTTGGGCTTCGCCCGTTGTGCTTGTGAGAAAGAAGGATAACAGCTGGCGCTTCTGTGTCGACTACAGAAATCTTAACAAGGTTACAAAAAAAGACGTGTATCCTCTGCCGCGGATATATGACGCTCTTGACTGCCTTAGTGGAGCAAATTATTTCTCTTCCATCGACCTTCATTCTGGGTACTGGCAGATATCAGTTGACGATCTGGACCGTGAAAAGACAGCATTTATAACTCCCGACGAGCTCTATCAGTTCGAAGTAATGCCGTTCGGGTTATGCAATGCACCGGCTACATTCGAACGAATGATGGACGCTCTTCTTCATGGTTTCAAGTGGTCAATCAGCTTATACTACCTTGATGACGTCATTGTTTTTTCGCCAACTTTCGAAACTCACCTCGAGCGTGTCTCAACAATTCTTTCGGTTTTCCGCAAAGCAGGGCTCCAACTAAACTCGTCGAAATGTCACTTCGGCCGCCGGCAGCTCACTGTCCTTGGACACCTTGTCGATTCTTCTGGTGTTCATCCCGTTCCCGAGAAAATCCGCGCCGTCAAAGATTTCCCTGTGCCGACCTCTGCGAACGATGTTCGAAGCTTTGTGGGCCTTTGTTCTTACTTTCGTAGATTTGTGCGGAATTTCGCTGACGTTGCACGCCCGCTCACGGAACTACTAAAAAAGAATGTGACTTTTGTGTGGGGACATGAACAAACACGAGCATTCGTTGAACTGACGAGTAGACTTACGACGCCACCGATTCTCGGCCACTTTGATATATGCGCTCCAACGGATATATATATAAGTACAAACTTTGCGATTGCTTTGAAGCCAGCTCTAGCAAGCGTCTACTTCATCGTTGTCTACCGATTCTGAGACGCCGCATATTTTTTGTTCAGCCTCTCTCAACCTTTTCGCGCGAAGATTGACTGCACTAGAGTCACTGGATGTGCAAACACGGGCACGAGAAACGTCAGACTCTGCCCAGGCGACGCTGCGAAAGACGCCGCCACCAGTGCTCCCATCGCCGCGCCGGCAATAAATGGGTAGTTCAAAGAAAGTCGTCCGCAAGTGAACGTGCATAGGCCCTCCTGTGTCGGTGGTCTTGAGGGGCAGTTTCTTGAAAATAGAGAAACTAGCAAGCTTCTTACGTCAATCCAACCCCGCTTCAGAAAAGTAGGAAGCGCATCAAAGCGGAACTGCGGTACACCACAAAATATGTTTCAGTTATTTCGGCGTGCTGCAATTCAAGCGCAAGCGAGCATCGCATGACATCGAATTCGAGGCAAGCACTCCTACATGTTTTATTTAATGCCTAAATGTGTTAAACTAGGGCATACACATAATGCCAAAGCGATGAAATGCATACATGAGCAATCTATCTTACTATCAGTTGTACGAACCTCACTTCATCCAGCACAAACAGTCCTGACGATTTTCGTCTGTGCACTTGCGTTCTCTATCGATCTCTCGCTTTCTGTGCGTTGAACTGTTTCTAGAATGTTCTGTTGACAGATGTATTCCATTTGTATATACTGCAAATGGTGATGAATGCGTGTCCACTTTCTCAGTGAAGAATGAAAGGCAAAACCGAAGTATCCGAGATAGCCCCGGCAATCGGGGAGACCAATGGCAAGAAAAACCTGATTGTGGTCGCGATTATTTTGCAATTTACCGTTGTTACATAGGTGTTCAGATTTTCTAGTTGAAGCCAGAACTTAGAGCCTTCAAAGCCCTATGTGCGTAATGCTGTGTGTGGCAACCACTTTAGATTATCGGTGGTCTCGGTGTGTGCAATGTTTATTGCGTGCATCACCTGTCTATTGTTGCATGGTGTGCACCGTGGTCACAGGCTCTGTTGAGCTTCATGATCAAAGTTACCACGGTTCTCTGTGAAGGCTACTCAGAACAATAACAGGAGACCTACATTATCACACTTTATCATGCAACCATCTGTAGAGAACGCGAGTAATTCGCTTACCCTACACGTTCGCGATGGCCCGTATCTAGTGCTTTCGTCGTTATGCTTCGCGAAAGCTGCGAAAATTATCAAAACTGAAGTCATTCACGTCCGTGGCAGTTCACCATGCAAAAATAGTGTCGACTGGAGTCTTTTTTTTTTTGTAGAGCGCGGAGCTGTTGCATCTGCACTTGCTTTCGCCGTCGTTTCGGCGAGTGAATCAACGAGCACTTCATGGTTCGGTGACGCGTCTGACTGGCGGAGAGAAGTTTGTAGCTCTTCTTCTAAGTGTTCAATGCGCAAATACACCTAATATTTAGCTCAATCGTTGTTTTATATGCTGTAGTTGCACGTGGTTGCACAGCAAATTGTGCAAGGGAGTTGGGTTTTGCACTACTCAAAACTGCATTGGCAGGTGGCACTGCATGTCTGCGAAACTCCAGAGTCTGACGTCCATAGGCGTGTTCATTGTACAGAGTGGGCAAGAGGCGATGCACCCTCCTCTTTTCCTACGGATACGATGGTGCCTCACACTAGAGAAGGGAGAAAGGGGTGCATCTGCCTAGGTACCCTCGTCCCATGAACAATTCCAGTTTTTGCGAGTCCTGGACATGCTATAAAAGTCTACTAGTCTGAGTTTTTGTGCAAATTACCATTTCCCTCATGGCCTTGGACTGGCAGCCTAATTTTCGTACACCGAAATTGTGAGATGCTGCTTTAGAGCCGTAGGCCAGTGGGGACAGTGCATTGTCACTGCGCTCTTTTTCCCCTCTTATTGTCAAGTTCATGGCTGCGTGAAGCATGTGTTGTGTAGCCTCATCCTGAACGTACTGAAACTTGGCACTTAATGTTCACTAACATCACTTCTGCATGCTCTAGCTCTTATAAAATAAATGATTCGGTAATGAAAAAAGTCTCGCCATTTAAGTATGTGGGCATAATAATTGCTTCAGATTTAACCTGGGCTGCACACACAGAGCATATTACTAATAAGGCTCTCCAAGAAACAGCCTTCTTGAATTCTCCTTGAATTTCAATAACAGGGACACAAAACTTCACACTTTCAATTCATTGATCCAGCCATCTCTAGAATACACATCAGTATTATGGCATCCTCTCTAAGATGCTTGAAATGGTACAGAATAATGCTGCTTGGTTTATCTCGTCATCCTACTTGCGTCACCTAAGTGTTTCGTTTTCTAAAAGCAAAACTTAACCTTACCGCACTTGCTATGTGCAGGTGACAAACTCAACTATCATTATTTCACTCACTTCATCACAGCTATTCATCCTTTGCCCAGTCTCATATATATTTCCAGCCCCTCATACTTCAACCCATCTAGATCATGCGCACAAAGTGGCCCCCATTTTCGCCAAGACCAACAAGTTTCGAAATTCGCCATTATCATTGGGCATCCTTGAGTGAAACTCCCTTCCACCACACATTGCCGAAATAACAGATCCTTCCATATTTCACTCTATGCTGCAGGAAGATTTCAGATTCCCCTCGCCTTATTTGTTTAGTTTTTTTTTTTCACTATATATTTAATGTTCTTTGATGTAATTTTTATAAGTGTTTTCTTCACCACTTTTTTGCTTTGTTCGTTTTTGCACTAATGAATATATATTTGACTGATGTTGGTGAATGTATTTGACTGGATTCTGCGATTAGACTTACTTGCTGCTTACTTTGTCTTGTTTTTTTCTGTATATTTTGTTTGCTGCTTATGTGGTTTGAAATGTATATATTCACTTAAATCACCCCCTATGTAATTCACAATTGGGTCTCTAGGGCACTGAAATAAATAAAAATAAAGAATATTCCCACCCATGCACAGGCTGTAGAGGGCATACGGCAGAACGCGAGTGTGGACCGGCGCCGCGACGTGGGCAAGGAAAAACAGGAGGAAGAAAGCATACAATGATGGATGGTTTAGACATATATTAAAACACAGTGGTTGATGGCACAGAGTTTCACGTGGGAGTGTAGAAGCACGTGTTTTGACGCTCACCATGAAGTCATTTCACACTAGGGGTTAAACTGTTGAGCGCATTGAAATGCACTCCGAATTTTTTTCTAATTGTGAAAGAGCATGTACCGTGGGAAAGTGGCAATATCAATCTATTGCTGCTTAGCAGTGTTGTGAATTCATGTCCTCATATGTTTTGTGGCTATTTGCGTGCTATACGAACACTAGGACAACTAACATTTATACATGTATTTAGAGTCCATTTATTTAAAATAATAGAGTCACATTTGCAGGACACAACAGCTTCTGCAATTGGGAGCAGCTGTAGGAGCAGCCATTCAGCAGACTCGCAATGTCACGAAGTTCAATTACAGAAATGGTCAGCGGAGGACATGCAAGGCAGTGGTGAAGAGGTTCATGCGCCTCAATTGCGGCCTATGGATACGACCACGATCTGGCCGAGCCAAGAAGCTGTGGAAGAAGCCCGACTACATTTTACAAGGCTTGCGTACACATGTCATCTGTAATAGGACTCAGTCTAAAATGCTGGACAAAATGGTTGGTGACTATTGGAAAAGGCCAAAGTACTATGTAGATGATCCATATGAGCCTTACCATGTGCGGAATTTTTTGCATGCAAAGAAAACTTGGTGGTGAGTGGCATTTAATGGGTCGTGGATTTGCCACACATCATCTTTTGTATGTAGGGTGTGGCATAACAGATAGTCACAAATAAAGTGTGCATATAAAAGCCAGCTTTTATTTCACACACTGTTGTCTTTTTTTGCGGAATACAGAAAATAGACATATGTGCCCATGACAGGAACATACCGTGCAAAATTTAAAAAGACTGTGCAAGCAGTGGACTAGCCAATTTTGGGCAGCAACAACGAAACCCTGCATTTATGAGCTACCCAGCAGGGACACCAGACTGCTCCAGTGCAGTTTGAGAAGGTAATCTTGTTCATTGTGAACTGGCAAGGGGCAGTTGGTGTTAAGTCTAACATTGGGGTGATCTCAGGATTGCCCTTTGCAACAGTAAAACTTGGGTGTGGAAGACAACACACAGCCATGTGGACAACACAAACCCCAGAGCACATGATGGTGCACCTACACACGAGAAGAGGTTCTTAAAGGGCTCCTCACCATGCCTTGTTGCAAATTTTGTTCACACACTGAAAGTTTTAAGGACCTGTCTAGGAGGAGTTGAAGCAAGATTCTCCTGTTAAGCTCTGTCTATGCGTGCCTTCTGTGCGTTCTCCCATGTGCTAGAGCTGAGATAGTATGTTGAGCTCACTGGTGAGGCCTGCATGGTCTTTGCCTTTAGCTTCACACTGCATTTGAAGTGGCAGCGCTGCATTCTCCACATTGGCTGATGAACCAGTCTCCTCCCATGGTCAGCCGATTCAAATTAATGCGTGGACGTGGCCGACACAGCTTTATTTAAAAGATAGGAGCACATTTTTCTATATGGAAATTTTCCCTGTTTTCATGCCACGGAGTCATTTCACTCTTTTTAGACAAGACTACCCACTGCCTGATTAGCTTGGTAATTTGCAATGCTTAAACCTGGTAGGGAGCCCTTTAAAATTGAAGTAGCTATAGCTACTTGTGCAATGCAGCACCATCAGTGTTCCAAACTGAGATTTTTTTCCCCTCTACACACAGCTCGTGAATAACATGACTGGCCTGAGGGCAGCACATCTTTACATCAAAACATGTCTGGCCTAAGACATACCAGTAGTCAGTGCAATATATGCATGCAGAGTTATGCCAATCTGCTAACCAGGATTGTGGAGTCCAATGTTGTATTTCTCATAGGCTTTTAACTGGAATTCCCTTAATTGAAGGAATTTTTTTGGAAATTGAAGTTTAAATTATTTCTTCATGGACATTTACAGATTTTCAACCTGTTAAGGGCAGTGATACCTTAAATGATCTTAACTCTAGATGGCTCCACAATCCTGGCCCTGACACGAAGCAGTACACACGCAGGAAGCTTTCTTACAGGCTTACAACGTTCAAATTGCATTGTCTGGCATAATGTCAAAAGTGATATAAACGTAGAATGTAACAACACACCTGCTAACTGGAGCAACAACCTTTTCTTGTGAAGCAGAGAACACTTGAGATCCAACTACCTAGTGATCGTACATTTCATCCAGGCTCAGTTCATAAAATGAAAGGCCAATGCCTCCCATTGGCATGCTTTATACACAGTGTGCCCAAGCACTTTTTTTTTGTCCTGGACTGCCCTGAAGCAGAGTCAGTGTTGCTGGTGAGGCATGCAGTTTCGATGCACTTGAAGGTGAGCTGCGGTTTGGCATTCAGATCTAAAACAAAATTTGAAGGTGTTTTTTTTTTTATGCATGCTGGAGAGATGATACAAAATAGGACAGTCATTGATTTCACTAAGTTCACATTAAAGACATTTTTAAATGTATTTTTTGCATTTCAATCCTAGTTTAACTATGCTGGGCCAGCTTAGCAAGGCACATGTGTTATGTGTAACAATTGCAATAAGTCAATAATTCAAATTTTTTGATGGTATCAAATTTTCATATAAATATGCTACATGGAATACCTGGTATGCTAAGCACACTTCAATTTTGCTTCTGTTTCAATAAGTTTGGATAAAAACTATTCTGAAAATCTACGAAGCATACCACTAGCACATTCTTAGAAAGAAAAAACAAATTGCCTTTTCCATTTGAATGTTTGAACCACGTATGTCCAGTCAGTGTGCTAAACATACCCTCTGCTACAAGTGATTCATGTTTCTTCTGCTGCCCCGTTGCAGTGGTCTAGTGGCTAAGGTACTCTGCTGCTGAGCCGCAGGTCGCGGTATCAAATTCCAGCTGCATTTTCGATAGAGGCAGAAATGCTGTAGGCCCGTGTGCTCAGATTTGGGTGCTACAGGTGGTCAAAATTTCTGGAGCCCTCCACTAAGGAGTCTGTCATAATCATATGATGGTCTTGGGATGTTAAACCTCACATATAAATTACGTTTCTTCTGCCAGGAACACTGTGTGAGGAAGGCAATATAGCATGGGTTGAGTGAATTCAAATTAACCTTTTGCAATCCAAAACCTTTTTCCATCTTTTGCCTGTTCCGATCGGAAGGAAAAAAAAAGAACTCTAAGTTCAAGTGAAAGTAATTTACCAACTCTTTTACACGTGGCGCATAATGTTCTAAGAAAACACCCGCGAAAGAACTTGTCTAGCAGTGCCCGACCACGGACTGCTATGGCCATGCTGCATTGTTGGGCAGGGGCGCTGAAAACGAACCGCAAAGGCTTAAGCACCCTTTAAGTACAACAGACTTGCAATAATTTAAAATCTGCTTTAGAACTTTTTGAGCTTCATATTGGAATAATCGCCACATTACCTTCAGCTATTGTAAAACTTTTTCTGGCTTATCAAGAGTGTAGAACTAGCCAAAATCGTCCACGAGGCTAGTTCGTTAGGGATGAGCTGAAGAGTCGGTGTGCAACATACGATACTCTGGTTGCTGTGTGTGAATGTTGATATAGATTGCTACGTGGTAGTAATGCTCATGCATTGTCTAAGCTAAAGGGCCATACTTGGGGAGTCTTTCTGCCAGACAACAATAGTCATCTGGCTTGCTTGCATTTCCTTTCTCAAAAACTGTGGGCTTGCTACTTTCCTAACAATAGTGCTGTGTCATGCTGACAACCACATGCTGTTCTTGACCAGGAAATGTCTGATGCACGCTGATGACACGAGGAATGTATACGGGAAAATACTGTGTAGCAATAAGACGCCTCAACTACAGCTGTTGCGGCTTATGAGTGTACACTGTGCAAATTGTGTATCTCTTTGTAAACTTGATATGACCCTATATCATTTTATATGTTGTAGGACATAATGGTTTTCTACACACACATAAAAAAAGAAATCTCTGGATTGGCGGTGACATCTTTGATTGTCACAATTAAAGGGCTTTTCTTCTTGCTTCCTGGTTGTGTAATAGGATTAATTTCATTGTACATATCCTCTTAGATGCAGACTTGTCACTGGTTTTAATTTGCAATATAATTCTGTGGAAAATTTTATGGAATAATCATGATATCAGTGTTCAGTTGGCAAGAAGGTGTGGGGGCTGCTACACTGGACAAATTAAATTTACTCTTGTTTGGTATTGGAATACCAACTTGCTGAGCTGTTTTCAACTGTATTTTAACACTAGGCGAGTGCAGAAAATGTTAACGAGTGTGAATCATGAGCCTTTGTACAAGTGCACTCTTTTGCGTTTATGAAGAAAGTGTATCATTTACAGTGGTGAGACTCTCTGGCTGATGGTAAACGATTAAAAATAGTGGATGAGAATGTAGTACATATGCAAGGTATTTGAGGATGTCGTAGAGAAAAACCCGTGTGTCTCCTTTTCAATACTTATTTGTCCATCACATCTGTTCTGAAGTAGCATTTTCCATGTTGACACAGGCGGTGGAACTGTGAAAAGATGTGTAGTTTTTGTAGCCCTAGCAGATGGCCAACAATAATTTAAATACCCCACTTTGCTCATTATGACAAGAGTCTTTGTTTTGTGTTCAAAACAGAAATGTTATCATAGCTTCTGATCAGCAACACTAGAAGCAGTCGGATGTTGCTTGAGTGGTTTAGTTTTGTTCGGTGGGTGCAGGCTATCATGTGCGACATCTTAAAAAGTGAACAATAAGTAACTGATGGCCATAAAACAGCACCAGGAGGTTTCTTGTGCAATAGTACATTGAAAACCAGCCCTATGCAATTGCTTTGCATCCTACCACATACAGTATGAGGCCCAAAACCATAGCTACAAACTTTTCAGAAACGTGGCACATACATCATTGCAATGTCCTCGTGGCACATACATAATTGTAACATCCTAACTCCCTTTGTTTAATGCTCTTGGCTACTATGATCAGGGCATCACTATAAGAGATACTAACAATGCAAAAAATTTGCCAAAGGCTGCTGTAGTGGATGAAATGCTCAAGGTAAACTTGAAACATCTGGTACGAGTAATGCAAAGAAACTACCTAATTTCACGAAATCATGTCAAATCCATGTTTTCAAATGCCCAATGCACAGTATAACTCAGCCATTGCCATCCGATTTCCAGCAACAGGTATTCTCTCTAAAAGGAGTGTTGAATTATTCTTGAATGGTGTGAAATTCAGGGGCAACTTACTCTATCTATCCCTCATGCGGTGGTAACGTGTTACCACTTTTCATCACTAAACAGCCCTGTGGCTGCAATAGTGTCTCGGTTCATTCTGAACTGACTGACTAGCAAGATTGGCTGGATTTTATACCTTAGAAACATAGTGTGTAGTTGTAAGTTGGGAAAAACTGGAAAATTACTTACACCAAATATGGGAGGTGCTCACGAAATAAGACTTAGCCATAAAAGAAGGACCAATCGAATGTTATTGTCTAGTTTTTGTTATTGTTAATGGATTACTACTATGAATTGCATAGTTTTAGTAATTGTATGTACAGGTAAATGTGATAAATTCATTAAGAAACTCTATGCCTTAAGAGTTGCAGTAAAAGCCTGAATTGCACAAGCCTACAGAATATGGTAAGAGTAGCAGAACAAGTTTATTTGTGATTTTCCATTACAGTTCACTCTTCATGCTTTTCTATTCATGGCTGTTGACCATATCACCAGGCAGATCATGAAGCAGCTCATGGCAGCTCAGAAGCATGTTTGTCCTCTTAGTAAAAGCAAAGTGTGTGGAATGTTAAATATCATAATTATTCAAGATCTTGGCCTCAGTTCAGGGCAATCCAGAACTAAACACAAGTGACTCATGGCGCACTATGATGGCCTAGTTGTTCTTTGGTAAATATGGCTGGCCACCTTCCTTTACATTCTGCTGGTGCACACATAGCCTTGAAAGGCTAACAATAGCAGACAGAAGAGACCTTTGAGCATATGTATATGCAGTATTAAAGTAATTGACTACAAAAACAGCCACCACTGCACACCACACAAACAGGAAGGCATTTTCGTTTAAAAACATCACACATTGGTATTGTTCCCTCGGAGCCACAGAAACTAAAAATGTTATTTACTGCCATTTCGCTGTCAGCAGCAAGAAATACACACAACAGAACTAACATTATGTTCACAAACTGCGTTTTCTGTACATCTTTTGATCATATTTAGCAGGCAACCATAATGAATGGTGGAAAAAATACCCAGTGATTAAGGTCACTTCATTGTTTATCTTGCTTTGCTAAAGCACCAATATCTTTGGATTCAGGAATACACGACAACCAAAACAAGCAAGGCTCTCTCCTCCCATGGGAACTGTCCTGTATGAACTAGTGAGCAGGCACACTCCAGGACTCGTAGCTGTGAATATGGCTGGTTCTCATATACATAGCTTGGACAAAGAGCTACAAACATCACTCTTGGCCAGCTACAGCTGATATTGCCAATAATGGGCGAATCAGTTCAAGCAACAAACTGTCGGACCTCTGCTGCATTTGTTGACAGATATAAATTGTAAGCAACGTCACAAGCACCTTGTTCTGGATATGCTTGTGTGCTCCCCAACTTTTCATGCATCAGTGCAAGACCGTTCCAAAGGATGCTCCAAAACACAGTGGAGTGCATTATGTACACACGTGGATTCGTGAAGCACAGCCAGTAATGCAGAAAAATGAGTACGGGTACGTTGCAGTTCAAGCAGAATTCATCACAAAGTGAAAAGAGCAGTAGTGACAAGCTTGTGAGCACATTGTTGGACATGGCCATGCAACTACTCTACTATCAGTATTGTCTCATAATCTTTTTCAAAGTCTGGTAATGATTGCACAGAATATAGTGGTAGCTTGTGTCTCTGCTCTTCCAACAACTGTGAATCAAAAACATTTCTGCTATGGCAAGTGTGATCTTTGAAAAGTACACTTGTCAAACTTGAAATGTACATTAGCAGCAAGCTTTCAGTATTGTTAAAAAGCAGAGAAACTTTTAAATATACCAGCTTTATGGGAAAATCTGTTTTTCGAAAGCCCATTAAGTAGAGGATGTTTCATAAAAGCAAAAAAATTGTCCCCCACCAGAACTGCAGCACGAAGCTTGCTCTTGGTAGCTTTATTCATGCTGCAGTCCTGACGGAATGACTCAACTGTCTCGTGGCTCGCTGTATGTACCTTTATACCAGCAGAACTGCTACATTGTTCTTTGCATTACCAAAGCCACCTAAGGTTTGCAAAGGCTGAGATATCTACATTATCTACTTCATAATTTCCATAAACTCGAACACAAGTTTTTATCCTTCTGAAGGCTATTTCCACTGATGCCTGGCTGGATTTGTGATGAATTTCGAACTGCTGCTTAGATCATGGAATTTGTAGGGAGGTCTCTCCATGCGAATATACTGCTGTGGACTGTTAAATAACTGCATTTATGGCTATATTACACGAGTGTAATAAATGTAGTCGAAACAGTTTCAGTCAAGTAGTTGCACAGCGTTTCTTTTATGCTATATGGCCTTGTGTGCACGACAAATGCAGAGGAGGTGAGGCACCTATGAGGCTCCACCTAGGGCTATACAACATTGTCCAGAACCATCTTCTAATTGCACAATCCACTATCGCAGGTTTTACACATGTGCACAGAACTACTGACATGAAGTACAGTTGTATTATACCCTGCACAACAAGGATCAGTTTAACCCTTTCTTTTTCAGTACTTAATGTGAGCCTTCACATACTAGAGGAACACTATTGTACACTTGATCTTAAAATGATACTTTGGAAAAGCTTACTGTTCAAACAGCCATGTATGCCCTCAATGGTAACAAGTGTCAGTACCCTCATCCAGGTTTTAAGTCATGGGCAAAATGTGTATGTATGACCACAGCATCCTAGATTTCCCTTGCCTGCTGAATTATCGGCGGTCACTTGAGAAGCGGCCGTCGTCGGAGCTGCGGTGGTGGCACCACTTAAGTAGGGTTGTCTTCAAATAAGTTCTTACATTTTTGGAGCTTACATGCAACAAAAATAATGTTAAAAAGTTTAAAAAAGGCGTAAACGTAATTATAAGTAACTCTACGTGAGTGACGTAACCATAGATGACGGGCGTTTCGCACTCAATCAGCAGGCAACCCCTTCAAGACAAGGCATAGCCTCTGAAATTAGCAAACGCCAAAGTTGCTAATCTCAAAGGCCAAGTACAAAGACCCTTAACCCTACGTAGGTGGCCCCGCCATAGATGACGGGAATTTCACGCTCATCTGGCAGGCAATAAAAATATAGGAGGCTATGGTATGACTGACCTTGGTGAACAAGAACATATGAAATGACTAGCACTAAAATCAAGCGCACTTATTTAATCATCATTGGCCCACTACGTCATTAAAACTCATATGTGAATATGGCCGTGGACAATTCTTTTTTCATTTTAATTTGCAGGCAGTATATAAAAGCCTTTGGTGTGAATGTAGCATTCAAGGAAATGCTTAATGACAGCACTGATTAGTTTTACCGACTGGGTACAAGTCAGTATGGATACGATGCCCTAGAATAACAGCACACTAAACTGCTTGTAGGACGGCAGCCAGAGACAGGAGCAAGCATTCCACGACATCTGCAGGCACCTTCATTACAATTGCCTTGCATAACATCTGGGCTAATTGGGAATCAGTGTTTTGAACTATAGTGTCAAGGTTAACAAGCAATATGAAAGCACTGACCTCCATATTGAATGTAAATGCACAGAGAAGTACACTGCAAATAAAAATGCAATTGGGGGCAGCAAGGAACGCAGTTGTTTTCACAATGCATGACTGTAGGAAGGCACTGAAGCAGCAGTGACTGTGTTGTGCTAAATCCAGTGCCAGTGGGGCCATTTACCACAGAGACGCTAGGCATATTGTGAAAACTCATCCGTCACTTGTCAGCAATAAAGGTTTTTTTTTCTTTTTAAAAAGGAAAGAAAGATGAGTACCCTTGGAATTCACACTGTGTGGCTGAATTCCAGCTGGCCTATATTATAGCACTTGTCGAGTTCCATGACTTTTATGAAAAATGAGAGCAACTATAAAGGTGCCACCAGTATGGCTCAGTGCAGCGTAATGTGACAATTATTTTTTTTTGCTTAATACTTTGTGATCCAAACGTCCCCCTCCCCAAAACTTCAGTAAACATAATGAGCAAATTTAATTTTATTTATTTGTTTTCAGATAATATATAAATGATATATCTAAAGGCAATTGTTGTAATGAATCACTTGTTCTTTATTGATCTCCATTAGCCACACACAAGCCATAAGCATTTAGAGAGCAGAATTGTTCCCTAAATGCCAAAGCAATGCTGGCACAGTGTGTAGGTTTGCGGCTTTTAACGAAATTCAAACCATATGCACTCCTAATCACTTCAGAGCTGTCCTCAATGGCATAACTGAAAAACACATGGTACAAGTGTCCTTCTGAGGGGGAAAAAAAAAGGACGAATTGGAAATCAGTGCTTTTTCTACCTTATTTGTTCCTCAGTTATGGTCACTTTTGTAGCTTGGAAACTGTTTTTTTTTTATTTCATTCTAACACCTATCTATTGGCTGCAGTCTTAAAAGCCTAGAACAGAGTATATGTTAACAATCTTTAGGCCACTGGAGGCTTGTTGCACAATGTGAGCTCAGGTATTCAGTTGTGATGTTATGCAGCCCTGTACTTGAAGTTGTTTTTTTCCATTCATCTGCACGTTGCCAGATGAGAGGCAGTGTGGGGCATACAGGAATTTGATGGCTATAGTCAAATTCGACCAACCTACTCATCATACGCACAAATGTAATGGCAGTCAGTGAGTTCTTTTTTTCTTTGCTACCAATCGTTGGTTCTTAGAGATCAGTGTGGCATTTATTCAAGCAGATGAACGTGAATCCTTGGAATTAAATAAGCTGGCACCCAGCACAGCACACTTGATGGGCGAGAAATGAAACCACACACATTGGAAATACCGCTTCAACAACAGCAGAGAAGAAAAAAATAAACACATTAAAAAGCACGTGGGTGCAGTATGTACAGGCTTTGGAAATGTCGCTGTGAGGCACCCCTTGAGAGACTTAGCAGATATTGCTTGGGCCTCACAGCGCTGTTCCTTGTACAGCTCCAGTGAGAAGCAGTGAGACCAGCACTGCCTCGGTGAGTGGGGAGCTTGTGGAGAAAGGGAACATATTGCCGCTGAAGTAACAGCGTTGCAGCAAAAGAGGTGGCTGCACTGCCGGGCAACAACCCTTCAGTGGCTTTGGGTGATCCTGCTTTGGCGAATGGTGGGCTCTTTCACAGATGGCAGCATGGGCTGCACTTCTCTCCTGCATGAAAGGCTACATGAGTCAAGGAAACAAAAGGGCTCATTGGTGCTTTATAATTTACTGTGCCGTAATATCTCACACCACACTAACATTATTAATCTGCAAGATGTGATACGTAATCATTGGAAGTAGTTCTATGATGGAAGATTTTTTTTATTTTTCTCAAACAGTTGGGAAATAACAGCAATAAGACTATCAAGTTTTTAAGAAGTTGAATAATTTACACAATATCAGTGCTATCGTGTTTTACGCTTCCTTTACACAGAAGAGATTTAATGCCTGGAGCACATCACTTTGTACACCTAACTTGGGATACCAAATTGCCCATATTCTAGTAAGTGCAAGGCTCAGTCAAGGATGAGCAGAAATTTATTATTAATTACAAAAATAGCATCTAGGCCTTGAAAAATTCTTGGAAGTAAGCCCTTTGTGTGCATCAATTTTGCCCATTGCTCTGTCAGCTATCCAGTTTTCATACACAGATGAAATGGGATTGATATAACAGCCAACTCTAGTTGCCCAGATTACTGCTGCTAGGGGGAGGAGGAGAGTTGTATAGGCATGCAGCACCCAAATACAAAACCAACCAAACTGGAGGCAGTTCCGTTTAAACCGCTATCCAGCTTAAAAGAGCCCTGCAACACTCTTTGAACATATAGTCAGAAAATGCTGCCAATTAGTACTACAGGTATCTGTGAAGATGATAGCAACATAGTCAGTAAATGCTGCCAATCAGTAGTTGATTGATATGTGGGGTTTAACGTCCCAAAACCACTCTATGATTATGAGAGACGCCGTAGTGGAGGGCTCCGGAAATTTAGACCACCTGGGGTTCTTTAACGTGCACCCAAATCTGAGCACACGGGCCTACAACATTTCCGCCTCCATCGGAAATGCAGCCGCCGCAGCCGGGATTCGAACCCACGCCCTGCGGGTCAGCAGCCGAGTACCTTAGTTGCTAGACCACCGCGGCGGGGCTGCCAATCAGTAGTTAAAGCACCCATGAAGTTGACGGCCACGCAATTCACTATTTCATTGTTAGTTAACAATGCATAATGTCATTTAAAATACATCCAAAAACTACTAGCATTTTCTCACAGCAAATTATGCAGTTGCAGGGACTGACTATGTAGCAAAGGGGACTGATGTGGCTTTTGGTGGATTTTGAAATTGTCAAAATGGTCTTAATAAATTTTATATTGTTCGTTTGGAGTTCAGTCAATAACACATAAATTAATGTCTCTATTTTCAAAAAGAGCAGTAACGTACCTCTTACTTTCTCTTCTATTCTCGATCAACAGTTATCAGCTGAATGTTTTGTCTTCTCTTACGTTCATGCAAGCTGGGACAGTGCATCATGCATTCTTGCTATTTCAAGCACTGCGTGCCTCAGTTTGTTACACATCTTATACTGAGCCTGTTACGACAGTACCTACCACGTCATTTTGAAAGCCACTGGTGCGCTTGCCAGTGTATCTTTCCTACATTCTTCATGATGCTTTTGCAGGCATTGCTTGGTGTTTAGTCAATTGACACTGCTTCAAAATGGGCTATATAGATTTGGCTTCTATCCAGTGGCCAATAATAAACATTTATAGTGAGGACATTTGATAATTACTTTGAAAGATGTTGCAGGGCCCCTTTATGAGATAAAAAAGAACTTTGGACTGAAGGAGCCAGTGACAGCCCGTGTATGCAAATTTTTCATCTCTACAACCTCGCATGTTCCCATGAACTGCTGCAGTGTGAAGGTCTCGTTAATTAAGTGAGCTCTGTTTACAGAGAATCCTAAAAAATGAGGTTCTATAAAAAAGGAACAGGAAGGGAGAAAGAAATTAAATACAGCTAGTGGCTTCTATAGCTGACTGCTAGGCTCTTAATTTTCAAAGTCAGTCACACAGAGAACCTTTTAATTCTTTTTTTGTGCTTGTTTTTATCTTTTTTGTTTGAAAAACAATGCAAATTTAGAAACACTGTTTATGTGATGTGATGATAGAGTCATACAAGACACTTACAGTGGCTAGGCCTGGCGTTTTGGAACCTTGGACCCTTTGAAGGAGAATGGTCCAAAGCAGATCTTTTTGGTCGGTCTCTCGTTGTTGCTTTTTTCCCGTATGGTTCGCTGGTAAAATTCATCTTCCTTAATGTACCTACAAATTGCAATGAAAAACATGAAATTTGGGTTCTTGCAGAGGTGCAAAAGTCCAGTTAAAAACGAACTTGCCATGCTGGAGGCCAGCGGTTTCGGTTTAAGTTGGCCTGGTTCTGAGGATGAAGGTTACGCAGCAGCTTCAGATTGTTCTGCAACACCTTCTTGTAAGTGGTGGCAATTCGGTACGAGCACCAGTCAGCCAGCTGGTCTGCATTGTGAATCTGCAATAAATATATGGTTGCTTAGCTTTGTAATGCACCTAACTCGCCTTATTATTGCTTTTCTGTAGTATACATATATACCTGGCTATATTTACCAGACTTGCAATGGCCACTCACATAGCGAAATAACATCAAGTGGATCTCACTCATCAAGCGCTAGAAAAATCTGCAGCGCTGCCCAATACATGGCCAGGTGTTTTTTTGTTTTTGTTATTTACTGCACAATGTGGTGGCACTGAAAATTTTTAAGTTTGCATACTGCCATTCTTTTGTTTTTGTGTGTGTGTGTGTTTTTTTTACCTCAGAACAAAGAATGTTGCATGCTATAAAGGCGTTGAAGTCATCACAATCACCTGCTGATCAAGCTTCATGCATAAGCATTTCAAATGTAACTTGACATTGATCAGTGTGACAACTCTGTCGATTGTATATTAACCCCACCCCCCCTTATGTAATAACCCTCTGGTGTTTTAAGGAGATGAAAATGAATGAATTAATGAAACAAAATACCAAATAACATAGAGCAACAAATTTTCATATGCCAGCAGCCAAAAATTAAAAATGACTTCAACGCTGTCGTGCCCCAGCAGGCAGTAAAATAAAGCATAAAAAACTGCATAAATGATATCACTCTAGAGACACGCTATAGTACTTAGCAGGTAAGGTAAGGTGCTGCTCTGCTAAGCTCTAGGATGAGAGTTCGATTCCCGGCCAAAGTGGCAGCATTTCAACGGGAGCAGAATTGCGAGAACACCCATGTACTATCAGTGTCAAACGAAACCCGAACAGCGGCAAGCCTTCATGATGACATAGTACGTGCCGTCCATTTATCACTATGAACAGGTACGCGCATATGCACAGAGCTGCCGAGTAGGATGCGTGGGCCTGTTAATGGTTATAACTGTATGGCACGCACTACACTATCGCGAAGGCTTGTCAATGTTTGGCTTTCATTTGACGCTGCTAGTACATAAATTTTCAGTTGCAATTTTTTTCCGACTAATGAAAGGCCAAGCCCTCAAAAGCCTAGAAAATGAACTGGTGAGTCTGAGAGCATTAAGAAAATGTAATTACAGTATCTTTATAAAAGCTAGTTTTGGTTCCTATTGTACTTTGACGTCACAATACATCATGAGCTTCTCGTAACGCAACATGTCGAGATGTTTCCATGACCTTGGTGCTTCGTGGCTTTGTTGTTGATGCACAAGATACCATTTTGGATGTCTTTGTGCTTGATGTCATCACAATTAGCCATACACGTGCATGAGGTTATCAGCATCGACACTGTATCTGGGGAAAACGGTGCTTCAACCTCTACAGGTGCCAAATGAAAAAGGCACAAAGACGAACATCCATGTCAACTAGCATGTTCTATTCCACTCAATGTTCTCTCTTTCTTTGTCGATCTTTAAATTATTCGATGCGCGTGCCATTCCCATGGGAGGTTCAAACAATTTACGACATCCTCCGCGTCCGACAAAGTTCAATCGCCCAACTCCAATGGGCACAACTGCTGTACTGGCCTTGCAACTTCCATACCTCTTGCCAAAAGGATCTTGCATGCTCTAACATGATTATCTTTTCATTAGTACACAACAGTTACTCAACCAACTTTCCAAAAATTTATGGGCACCTTGTCTTAATGATGACTACATCGTTAAGCTTAAGCTGGTTGTTAGGCTGTATTCTGCTAATGAGTGCACTTCTCAAACACAAAAGGTATTCTTCATACCAATGCTTCCAAAAATCCCTTACTTCCAATGCCTGTACTTTCAATGCTATAGCAGTATTAGCACTAGGTAATGTAGTCGAGCATGTAGCGCGTAGACAGGATAACCACTGGTCATTAAGGGTAACTAAATGGATTCCTAGAGAAGGCAAGTGGGTTAGGGGGAGACAGAAGGTTAGGTGGGCAGATGAGATTAAGAAGTTCGCGGGTATAAATTGGCAAGAGCAAGCACAGGACCGAGTTGACTGGCGGAACATGGGAGAGGCCTTTGTCCTGCAGTGGATGTAGTCAGGCTGATGATGATGAATGTAGTGAACTTTATACCGGTCAGAAAGTGTGAAGGCGTAAGTATACCTGGACCAGTAGCGTCAGTGGAGAGGTATGTTTTGCGGCCCAGAATTCACTACATTCTCTACTTCTGCTGGGATGGTTGAAATCGAAGCATTCTTTCCCCAGAATTCTTTTATAGGAATTTTTTAACAGTGCCTGTCATCCTTTGCCAAAATGCACTCGACCACGGACCACGTTCCGCAATGAATTTTAGTTAATGTGGTTAGTAGAGCAAAAGTCTTGCACTTGCAAGTTGCGCAAAATTTCGTACATCACTTTTAAGTCACGACTGGCAGCACAAAAAGCTAGAGCATTGTCGGAATAAAATACACTAGGCAAGCTACATCATGACACAAACCGACAGAAAGCCATTAAAAATGACCCCGCCATCACACAAGGGTCCCGTGGGACATTACATGACAGAAGTGGGGGGGTCAAAAAAACATTAGCTGAAACAAAAGAAAGCAAAGCAGCACTAACAATATGAACAAGATAGGAAAACAGTAGTGTATCATAATTACAAAGATAAAATGTGTTTTTTTACGGCGGTTTTAAATTGGGCTAACTGAGATGGCATGGTGATGTGGGTGGGAAGGCTCTTTTAGTCTTGCACTGTCTGAAGGAAAAATTACTTCTGGAAGGTTTTTGTTTTTGGGCGTACTGGATAAACGGCATTGGAGTGAGGATGTCCGATGTGCAGGTCTGATGAATGCATTGCCTGGTGGCAAGGAATGAAAAAACTTAAAATACAGGCACAAATGTGCCTGTATCAATGTGCCTGCAGTCAAGATGAGGAAGATTAAGTTGAGATTTGACTGCTGACACACTTATGCTAGTTGAGTAATTTGAGATAATGAATGTGGAAGCACGGTTCTGGATGGATTCGAGCATAGTGGAAAGGTTAGCTTGATGAGGATCAAAAATGGCATTAGCACACTCAAGTTTGAGCCTGACGAGTGTTTTTTTTTATAAGCTATTAGTTTAGTAGCAGTAGGGGCCGAGGCAAGCTTGAAACGAAGGTAACCAAGAACTTGATTAGCTGAGTTAGTGATGCTAATGATGTGTAATGTTCATGTTAGATCAGATGATATATGACCGCCTAAGTATTTGGTAGTGTTGGTAGCAGCAACAGGGTAGTTGTGTAGAGTGTAAGTGTTAGCGATGTAGTCTTTACCTGGTTGAAAAGTCATTAGGAAAGTTTTGTAATATTTAAGGACATTAACCAATCTTTACTTACACTATTCCTGTATAGTGTTAAAATCGGACATCACTACACAACTCTAAGGGGATCGCTCGAAACGATGACACAAGTAAAACTAATGATGTATGCTTTCACAGGACTGGACAAATTAACAAAACAGGACTGGCAAAGTCAACACCCACAACTTGAAATAAGTGCAATCTTACCTCCCTGTCAGTGGGCGGTAGTGCGGTAGGGACTGAGGCAGGTACGAGCATGAATCTTGCGCACACTTTGCATCTAGAGATCACCTTTTTCACACACTGGTGGCTTTTGGCCACCGAAAAACACTCGTGCAGCTCGGAAAGAGTATCGTTTACACCACTGTGAAACAAGTGGCGGTGCGTGCTGTTGATGATAAGATACTACTGCCTATTTAATGCCAGCAATTCAATGAATGCCCCATATCCTGCATGGCTGCAAGTAGCACTGGCTAGCACTTTCCGCACATGAATGTGTGGAAAAGGCCAACTCAACGAATCAACTGGGCTGTAGTTACTGACGTGTGTGTCTTTCGAAAATCCTCCCAGCTGTCCGATGTGTTATATGGAGGCTGTGGGTTCGGCTCATACCCAGAAGGGACAAGTTGTATTTTTAAAAAATGTTTACACATCATTAAGGTCATGCAGGTGTTAATATTATTAAAAAGCCTTAAAGCATCCAGATATTACAACTTCGTTGTGGTGTTGCAGTTGTGCACAAGTCTACAACAAACAAGTCACCACAAGAATATTTCGAAATTGTGCTTCAATAGAGAAGTGTTTGATGATCAAAATATGGTCCTTCTCGCTTCGTTCTTTCTTTCACTATGGTTCATTCACTGGCTTGTCTCTCCTCCTGGCCGAGCGAGGAGGATTATAAGCAGGGCCTGCTGGCAAATAAGTTGTTTATGCTGCTGACGTGACTTGATTCCCCAATCACAACCAATTACGGAAATGTCAAAAAAAACCTGAAGACAAGCATGGGATATATATATTTTTTTTTTTCGCTGCACACCTGCGACGTGTATCGCTGCCACGTTTGGCACTGTTGATCATGACAGCATTCCGAAATCAATGCGAATGTTTATTTTAAAATGTAAAAAAAAAAAATTGGCAGATCCCACGTATTTTAGCAATCCATGTTTATGCGAAGCATGCAGATGAAAGGTGATTGTGTTATAATGTTTTTATTATGTGAAACGTAACAAAGTGGCACTAAAGATATGTGCAAATGCACGCACAGATATACGTTAAAGAGATATGTTTTATATAAGCAGTTGTTTGCAGTAGCCTAATGATGCACAAAGCAACATGAATATTAGCAACACCAGAAGTGGTAAGCTGAGATGAAGCACTGGTGCTCCAAGGATGGTAGCCCTGGACACTGTTAGATAAGTGAGCTTCGATGGATAGCGCTTCACTACAATTGCTAACCCGACAGGACAACTGTGTCATAGGAGTACACATGTAACTTTTATACAATAGGGTAGCCAGAACCGCAACCAGAATTGGCGTTTCATGAATATTAAGGTCTATTTGAGAAGTAGTTGCAAAACCTGCCGTGGCTTTGTGGTAGAATACTTGATTGCCACGCAGAATGCTGTGGTTTGATTCCTGCCGGGGCCCTGATATATATTCTTTACATTTATCAAGTCAACTCTGCCGATGTCAGCTTTTTCTTAACTCTCATGAGTTAAAATTATCCATGTCTGTTTTTGCCGTTTCTCACTAAATAAAACTGTCAACTAACTGTGACACATACCCACCTGTGGGTATGTGCCACACGCCAAGTGGAAAGGGTTCGACGATGTATGTAATGAAATTGTGACATCTTACGCTTCTATACTAATTTTGGTTTACCCCAAGTTAATAGACAGACACAATCAACGTGTCTGCAGTACACAATAAAATGCTTTGCATTTAAAACATATGGTATAGAAGCTTTTTAAGCACTACCCGCAAATACGATTCAACAAAACGTTATAAGCACAAAACACACGTACACGTTTTGAAAAGAAAGTTACTCTAACTGAACACATAAATATGAATTTAAAAAGCCAATTTCCTGTTAGTAAAAATGTGATAGTAACAAAAGGCTTTTGGAGTGCGATCCATATAGGGGAATGCCTGTTATGTGCGGACACAGACTATGATGCTATAAGGTTTTTAAAGAACAAAAATGATGTTTAACTAGCTCTTGTAAAAAAGTTGAAAGCTGAAAATAGCACAGTTTTATTGCCCACGTGGTTGACTTTAATTGCCTCATGGACACTTCAACAATTAGAATAGTAGTTTTAGAATTAGGTATTCAATTAATGCTTATTATTAAATCTAATTAACAAAAAATTACTGTCGGCTAGTCCACTGTACTAGCAACAATATGTATTAGTTCTTTTTCGAGTAACGCTTGCAGCTTTTCTTTTTAATCGTGCTGTGAGTTAACTGGGACAGCCTGTATATATACTGGGAAAGTTATGGAAATAAAGAGCCAGTGAAATTATCTTTAGCCACATATATATACTATATCACAAGGAGACAAAAGCTATGACATATTTACAAAAAATACAGATCAACTCATATATGTTCTGACAGGAATCTTGTATTACCAATCATGTGGCTAAAAATAATTTCACTGGCTTTCTATGCCCATAACTTTCCCAGTTTGCCGCGTTATGGTAAGATGGAGCACATATAATGAAAGCCGTCACAATTCTTCTTTGTTCTCATCACATTCTTTGTTTATTCACGTTAGTAATAAATGTGCAGGTGCTAGTACGATACTCGATCTGTCGCCTTGAATCACTTATGTGCTTACCTGGCAAGGCTCCAGGAGTTGCAAAGCCACTTCGGAGACATCCTTAATGTCCTTGGAGCAACCAGCCACTTTCTGAGTGACACCACTGGCTGCTTTCTCTGGAGAATTGGTCAGTCTTTCGGAAGAGCGATGAGACTTCTTTGACCGTGCTTCTCCATTCCTCTCAGAGGACTCAGTTGCCTTTTTGGAAACGTTCTTTAAAATAGGTTCTTCCTTGGCACTAGCATGTCGGTCTGCATCACTGAGTTCTTCAACAACTCGTTCTTCAATCAGTGCCACTAGCCGTGGCAAGCAAAGCTGGTCAGCAAGCTTGATGAGCTCAAGACAGTTGCTAGCATTCACTTCACTGCACAGTGAGTCCTGGTAGAAGTACGTCAACAGCTGTCGGAAGCACTTAGAGGTAACACCTGGAAAGTGCACCTGTTTTACGAAAAAAGGTATACACATTTTAATATTTATGAGATAACTGTACAACAAGTTGCACACCTATTATCTATGTATGAATGAATGTGTGTGTATATATATATATATATATTTAAGAGAAAGGAGTGTATACCTAAGGGCTCGTTTTTTCGTGTTTTGACACAATATTAATGAGATCTAACAGACACTAATGCCAAGGAATGTATAAGGGAAGTTATTAGAACAAATGGAATATAAATAAGATGAAAGAAAAGTGGGGGAAAAAATAACCAGCCGTGAGCAGGAATCGAACCTACGACCTTCGAATAACGCGTTCGATGCTTTAACCACTGAGCACTTTTTTGGCTTTATATGTGAATTTAGAAGTAGGAGTGTCAGTCAGCGCCATCTATAAGTCAAGCATCGAGTGTGAAACACTCTTCTATGCGCATGTGTGGCGTCACGTAGCACGTGAACTTATTACGAGCGGGCAGCTAACCTAACGCGTAATCCGAAGGTCGTAGGTTTGATTCCTGCTCACGGCTAGTTATTTTTTCACCCACTTTTCATTCTTCTTATTTACATTCCATTTGTTCTAATAACTTTCCCTATACATTCCTTGGCATTAGTGTCTGTTAGATCTCATTAATATTGTGTCAAAACATAGAAAAATGAGCCCTTATGTATACACTTCTTTTCCTTATTCATTAACGAGGGTCTCGTACTGGCAGACTTGGTGTAATTATGTTGCATAGGAGGGACTATTGGTCAGCTGCCCGCTCGTAATAAGTTCACGTGCCACGTGACGCCACACATGCGCCTAAAAGGGTGTTTCACACTCACCGCTTGGCTTATAGATGGCGCTGACTGACACTCCTACTTCTAAATTTATATATAAACCCAAAAAAGTGAATGGAGGGAAGGCCGCTGTGATAGCTCAGTGGTTAGAGCATCGAACGCGTAATCCGAAGGTCGTAGGTTCAATTCCTGCTCACGGCTGGTTATTTTTTCACCCGCTTTTCTTCTTATTTACATTCCATTTGTTCTAATAACTTCCCCTATACATTCCTTGGCATTAGTGTCTGTTAGATCTCATATATATATATATATATATATATATATATACAGGATGTCCCACATAACTTGAGCCAAGAATTTGAAAATGAAAGACACTTCAGTGGCGAATAGAACCAAACACGCACTACTCACACTAGCCTGTAGGTACTCAGGCTATTTTTTATTTCTGCTTATACTAGTTGATAATTCTTAATTACCTATATTTTAAATTATGGGCTGGAAACCCAAAATATGAACACTGAGATGTAGAGCACTTTCAGAAACCATCGACTAAATTGTTTCCGGTACGATACGTCTAGCGCTGTTTTCTGCGTTGTAAAGAAAGCCTATAGCAGCACTATAGCAGTGCGCTCGCAGTGCCCTCACAGTCCGTCCCATGTACGGCTTCTTCCCACATTTCGCGGGCTTTCTTTACAACATGGAAAAAATAACAGCGCGAGATGTATCGGACGAGAACTGGCACATTCAGCATGGTATGGTTGATGGCAGCGCGAGATGTATCGTACAGGAAACAATTTAGTCAGTGGTTTCTGAAATTTCTCTACATCTCAGTGTTAATATTTTGGGTTTCCAGCCCATAATTAAAAAACTAGATAATTTAGAATTATTAATTCATTAGTATGGGGAGAAATAAAAAATAGCCTGAGTAACTGCAGGCTAGTGCAAGTAGCATGCGCTTGGTTCAATTCACTTTCTAAGTGTCTTTCACTCTCAAATTATTGGCTCAAGTTATGTGGGACACCCTGTATATGTATATATATGGGCTGTTCCACGCCAACTGTCCGAACCTCGGCGCTCGACCATCTGTGATTTGCTTTAAAAAAATTCAGGACTATCTATTTGAAGAAAGAAGTCTTTCATTAACGTATTTTCTGCAAAAATAATTTTTCTGCGGCGTCATGCACATGCAATGTTTTCTGAGAACTTCAAAAGTATGGTTCGGAAAACAAATTATTAAAAAGTGAACTCTTTCCGACTTAGGTGATCGCGAACTATTCTCAACAGAACGATGATAGGCTTTGCTGTTAAATACGTTTAATCAATTTTGACGTTTCCATGCTTTTTTATATGGACTTAAATATGAGAAATATGCTGTGTATTTGCAATTTTTCTGTGGAAAGACGGCTTTAAGTGAAATAACGTATTATACTTTGTACTATATTCAGGCACTTGTACAATACGAGAAAAATAGTTTTAGCCAGGTATAGCACGAAATAGGGCGTGCAGCCGGCGACAAAGTTTTAAAAAAGTAAGTTTTTGCCAATGTTTAGTCATAAATTGAACATTGAGGTGACCCTATTAAAAATGCCCCAAATAGCGTACTTCTTAGCAACGTCTATTCCCCACAATATGACAAAGTTTCATGAAATTAATTTTCGTTTTATGCAAGAAAAAATTTTTTGAAGTTGGCTCCCGCTTGCGTCCGCTCTTGTGCACGTTTAGTCCTCGTAGAAAAGCATCCGAGCAATAACAATGACTTGTGCAGACGAGATCTTTCCTGTACTGATGGTCATACATCTTGGACAAGCAGGTAATGGCAGTTCAGTTTATTTACCTTAAAGGTCGCCCGGAGGAGACATTACATAAGGGGTGGGTTAAGAAAACTTTCACATGATTTACACATTAAATAGTTTCATATTGATGATTTATACGTTGTTCGAACAAGAACAACATAGTCAGCTTTCTGACATTTTTAGCTGAGACACGGCTGCAACGACCACTTCTCTGCTCCAATAGCACAACAGCTGGAGCAGACAAGAGCTTCTTAAGGCGACTGCAGCGCCACTGGAATTTTCAACGATTTTTTTCTTTTTTTTAAGCTTCACCTCGCCAATTGCCACCCACTCTCGTGAACCACCTCCGACAGTCTAGTAAATTGTACTGCAATGTTTACTAACTAACACAATCATGTTCAAGCGACGTTTCACCTGCAATAAAAATGAAGCAGACGAAAAAGGATGGCTTGTTTTAAGGCAGACGTCCTCGCAGACATGGTTCTACCAAGTCAAAGAAAGGTTGGCAAATTTTCGTGAAAGACTGGTCGGCGTACTAGTGAAGTTTACACACTGAAGAAAGGCAGCACATTAGTCCACGACACGTAGAAGTGGTACATGATATTGGAGAAGCCAGTTTTATGTAAGTCAGTGTCGATGTTTTTTCATGGAAGCATCTGCTATACCATCCCTAGCAAGCCATGGGTGCACCGTAGAACGTATCTTTGTTCTTTACTTCTGATGAATCCTACTAATTTGAACTTATGAATCTGGATTTTCAATTTTATGATGATAGATAAGAAATTTTATGAAAGCAAGGGTTTTCCTTGAATAGTGCCTTGAAAGTGTTAATGGTTCAGAGTAGGGTTTAATTCGTATAAAAGTGATTGTGATATGTCAATCATATGCTTATTAATGAGGACGTGTTCAAGAGGAGCTTTGAGTGTTCATTTTGAAGCTGAATTTACAGCATTTACTGTGACTAAATTGTCAAAGTAACTTAATATTTATAATGCACATTCCGTATTCCTAGAAAATGAACAAAGCCTGGTGACTATGTAGTGGTGTGCGGTTGAATGAAATCAGGATCACGTATGGCCTGAGGTGTCGAGGCTGCATTTTAATTGAGGTGAAATGACAGAACACTTGTGTGTTTAGGTTTATGTTCACTTTGATCAACCAAAAGCGGTCGGCATTATTCCGTCTTATCTGTTTACAGCAAGCTTCACAGTCATTTTGGGGCTGTGGTGGGTACACTTATTTACGAAGGTTTTTGAGCAGACATAACTTTTTTTTAATCATTAGGTCCAGTCGCAAGAGCTTACATGCTGCAGAATTCAAATACAAATAAAAGCTTTTTTGTTTAATTGAATAATGAGTCGGTAGAAATACATATTATTAAAATATAATCAATTTATTCTTCGTGTTCACAGGTCGTGAACTTCCACCATGCTCCCTAGGATGCCACAAAATTACACAGACTAAAAAGCAGTTTTTAGTCAATATTCAAGACATGATCGAGCCACAACGTCGTCTACTTTTGTTTCGTGCAAAGCAGAAGCAAGACATAAACACTGTACGTGGCCATCATTACATGGCGTACTTAAAATATTACACGTCGCATCTAGCATCAAAATGGTGCTCTAATCCATTTTTGGAGCATATGGTGAATCTTCACAGGACTGCAGTCATAACAATCTCTCTTGTAGACAAGTGTGCGTTTGATATGCCTGTTCTAGATAAGGCAGTACAGCCTGCTGTAGATGACCCGCCTGTTTCAGTTGCAGATGCAGTCAATGAGGCTTTCGTAGTCATAGGGGCAAGCCCTGTAAGACGAAAGCGTGCTCGAGGATGCAATGAATTTTATATAGAAAACAAACTCAAGAAACTGCAGAAAAATATGAAGCAAACAATGCGCAATCGTCTCGGCCTGAGCGACGTATCAAAAGCAGTGAGTAAGATAGAGCCAAACCTTCTGAATGACAATGCATCACTAATCAATCAACTAAAAAGTAAATACATGCAAGAAACCAGCCGCAGGAACAAAATTCGCATCCTTACAGTGGCGCCACACTCCTGGTCACGCAGTAAAATTATGCGGTTTTTTGGTGCTCAGAGCGACAGGTACGTGAGGCAATCAAACTCAGGTCTCACTCTGGAGTGCTCAGCATGCCGCCACAGAAGAAAGGTTGGCCCCTAAGTGAAGAATTGACTACTTCTATCCGCAACTTCTATGAAGATGATTTAGTGTCTCACTGCCTCCTGGGTGAAAAAGACATGCTGCGTGGCCATCAAAACGTTTGCTGCTGATGAACTTCAAAAAAATGCCCAAGAATCAGAAAGAAGCATCAAAAATGACTTGTAGATCTTCTAACTTTGCCAGCCTCCAATCTGCACATTGCGTGTTGGCGGGTGTATATGGTACCCACACTGTCTGCGTGGGCGTGCAGCACTAGAATTTTAAGCTTATGCTCCACGCTTCTGGCTTAAAAGAGACGTGCAATGAACTACTAGGAACAACAGTGTGCCAACTTAACAGTGAAGTATGTATGTTTGACCACTGCAGCAGATGCCCAGGCACAAAGAACACTGAAACGTTGCCCCGGAATAACCTAAATACCGAGGCTGAAGAGAACAAAATCATCTTAGTTAAACAGTGGGTCAGCGGCACGCGGTGGAGCCTCGAGTCCCTTAATTTTTCACACGATGAGTTTGTTGAAAAGTTTGCAGAAATGTTGAAGGAACTCAAAGGTCACCATTTCGCATTACTTTAGAAAGCTTAAAACACACCTAAGCACCAATGAAGTAGTTGTGGTAATGAATTTTGCAGAAAACTATCACTTCGTTGTACAAGCTGCACCACAGCAATTCCACTGGAACAACACGCAAACATCACTGCAACCAGTGGTTATTTACTACCGACCTAAGGAAGGCAGCTGTGATATAGTTTTCACTATGTCCTTTGTCGTGATTTTCAACAGCCTTGATGACAACACAACTGCAGTATTTGCATTTCAGGAAGCAATACTAAAGCATGTAAAACAAGATCTACCCTCAATCAGGTATATTCACTACTTTTCAAATGGGGTCGTCGCTCAGTACAAAAACGGAAAAAACTTCGTCAATCTTTGCCACCATGAAATTAATTTTGAAATTTCAGCCGAATGGAACTTTTTCGCAACATCACACGGGAAGAGTGCTTGTGATGGTGTTGGAGGAAGCATGAAGGGCCTAGCAGAGAAAGCAAGCCTACAAAAGCAGCATGACAACCATGTTTTGACACGGCAGCAGCTCTTCAAGTGGACAAAAGAAAACATGGCTGGAATCAGGACAATATGGGTGTCAAAAACCACTGTTGATGAAACTCAGCTGCTCCTCACTGAAAGGTACATGCATGCGATTCCCATCAAGAATACTCACAAATACCACCACTTCAAGCCCATCTCAAAGTATACTGTTCGAGTTGGCCTAACTTCGTACTCGGAAATTAAAGTAATTGTTATATCAAGAGAACATTAAAGTGTTCAAACTGTGCATCCTCCCCAAACGATAGTTCGGAGAGAGTTATTGCGAGGGATTCCTCGCAACAATATCAAAGCGTTCGGTGCAGTGTCGGCATGAGTAGAAATTCTCACTCATTCCTCTAAATACCAATTGTGCATGGAAATCTGCACATGGCAACCTCCGACAGTCATTGCCTACCATGGATGGTGCTGATGTTGAGGGTTTGCAATCGATGCAATAAACCTTAATAAAACAAACAACCTAATCTCCTCACTCGTGCATTTTGACAGATGAACGCTCCTGCATAATAAATGGAGCCATGTATACACCTCCAAAGAAATTAAATAGGTAAGCTGATCAACCCATCAGCCCAAAGTGACAACGGCAATAGTGTATTATTTTACGTCCCCCTGACTGACATTCTTTCCATACATTATTATTAGGTATAGAGCAGAGCACATAGCTGCACTATTAGTTCTGTATTCCTGTTTGATTCATGTTTACTTTGCAGGTAAATATTAGGAGAAATAAAATCGGCGGCCTTGGGTAATGTAATAGATTTACTATAGCTTCCTGAATGTTCATATTCGGCACTCCCAGCTTTATTTTAAACGCTTTTTGCGGCCTCATTAATAACGCCACCATTGCTTGATACTCAACAGTTCTGAAAGTAGATCACCGGCTAAAATCTACGAATTTAATTACATTCCAATCTCAATAATTCAAACACGAAGGGGACCGAAAATTTGTTCGAATTAAAAGAAGTTCAAATTAATGAAAGCTAAATAAACGGGGGGCCCTCTATGCAATGTTGGATGTGCATTTGAGCTAACACACAAGGGCAAAGTTTCAGAACACTTACATTTATTCACAAATCACAGGACATCCGTTATTAATTAAAGTAATCGGTGATGCGCACCTGCACACGTTTACCTTGCAACGAGTCAATCAATTTCGCACGCAACTTGCATAGCATTTCTACTTCGGCTTCAGCATTCTCCTGGCAAGAGAAGTTGCACATGGAAATGTCCACCGCCGAGACTTTCTAAAGACAACGACAACAACGAATGCGTAGTGGAGCCTCCCGCTACGCAGTCGATGAAAGAGGAGCGAGGAAGGAGCAGCGTCTCCACGCAGAGAAAAGCAGATCGGCTTTTGAGAGAAAACCAAAACTCCACGACAGCTTTTTTTTTTTTTTTTTGCTCTCTTCGCGCGCGTCATTGAAAGAAGAAGGATTACTTGGCAGGTACGGGAAAGAGAGAAGCGTGGCACCAGCACGTGAGAGACCTCCCTCTCTCCTCAAGGCGCAGAGTCGTGCTCCCGCAAGGGGAAAGGGCTGCAGAAGATAGTGCCTTTTTTAAAGACAATAGTCTTTCTTGGGAACCTTCTATGCAAAAATTTTGGTCTGCCTGTCTGTACATTTGTCTGTTTGTCCACTCTTACCGGCATTGAGAACTTGAAACGGCCGACCCCATCCGCAGCGACCATCAATGTTGCTCAAGGTTGAGCGTTCATGCTTGTGCAATTGTCAATTAGAAAGCAATTATTGGGCATGTCTGGGGCACCATAACAATACGCATATATTCCGCATATGCATCTCTTACTATAAAACGCATACATAAGTAATTTTAAGGACCGTAGCGCTTATCACGCTGCCCTTACCATGCAACGCTTGCATGAAATGGGGAATGTTTTTCCAACGCTTCGCTAAGACGAGATGGTGGTGGAACCTACCCGTCGCCTCGCGTTCTACACCTTATCACCTCTGAGACGGGCATGACAGCCACGCGCTTTGTTTTCCAAAAGAGACTGCCAGATGGCGCTCATGTCTCACGTGTGACGTGACTTGATGCGCTCGTTCGCCTCCACTGCACGCTCGAGGCACTCTAATGCAGCACCTCCGGGAATACCATTCACCAATTTTCTTGCGCAGAACATCAAATAAATGTTTTGTTCACTCTCTCCACATGCAAGACTATCGTCTTTCGACGACATTTGCAGATTACATGCAGATACAGGGCTAATTTTTTTTCTTTCCTCTTTCTCTTCGTGTGCGGCGTTGGAAGGAGAAGGGTCTTTATGTGGCAGGGACGGAAAAGAGAGAAGCGTGACACGGTTGCGTCGCAGATCGGCATTTAAAAGAGAGAACATTCCACTGCAGCTTTTTCTTTCCTTTTCATTTCCAGCGTTGAGGTGTCGCAGGTGCCGCCGCGGGATTGGGCAGGGTGCTGCGAGAGCAGTTTCGGAGCCAGTTATGTTCGAATTAACCATCGGAGATGCTTGGGCGTTCAAATTACCGGGCTTTTTCACTCATACGAATACACATAGCTTTGACGGGACCTCATCGTGAGTTCGAATTAAATGGAGGTTCGAATTAAGTGTGTTCGAATTAATGAGATTCGACTGTATACTCCTTCTTGTTGCCCATCTTGGGAGCACAGTAGCAACCACTTTACTGCTGATAGTTTACAATAAGAGGCTGCTCTTCCCATTTCCCTTTTCGGTCATCGACACTCAATTAAAAAGATTAGCAAACCACAGGATTAAGCTTTTTTCCGCTCAGTATGGCGGAACAAAGCGAGGGAGGGCTTCAAAGTCCACTTTTTTTTTCCTTTTATTCTTTTCCATTCTGAACTTGGCATTTAAGGCTTCAGAAGTGGTAAACAGGCAGGTGGTCACAGCTTATTGAATGACAGGGCCACCATTGTCCATTGAACGTGTTTGTGTTGGTAAACTTTGCACCATATCGGCCATTACACGAGAGTGATACTCTTCTTTTTTTTAGTGGTGACAAGCCTTTACTTATGTTGAAAGCAGCAAGGCGAATTGTGCATGTTTAAGTGAGAACAAAAAAAAATTACCACTTTGGCAGAGCTTTCGCGGAAGTCTCCACTGAACATGGCTGCCATCATTTCGCACCGTGCCATAAGTAATGGCCGATGGGCTGGGCAAAAGCCATCATCCAGCCGAAAAAGTACATCTGCGCAAGCAAACAGACACAGTACTTTTTAGAATACATCAAATAAGCAACTATTTGTTGTCCAGTTAGTCACAATATGTATCTAGTTTAACATTCAGAAACACTTCTGACACTGAAACAATGTAAAGCAGACCATACATAATATAGGGCATAGCCAGGGGTCATACACAAACTTAAAGCCGGTGCTAGTCCCATAAAAGTGAAAGTCCTTACCTGGATACAAACTTTTATCTAAGCAAACATCTTTTAGGTGCAGTTTCAGCTTCTCCAAAAATTTCATGTCCACTGAAGGTTTTTTTGAAAGCTCTTGCTTCTGTATGCTGGTGAGGTATACCTAAAAAATTGTCACGACCATTATGTTGCATGAGAAATCTTCATAGTTCATTCTCTACATTTACATGTCAGTTTCAATGGCACTTGCAAAACAATGAAGAAAGAAATTAAGATAGTACTGAGGTATTATTCCCAGTACTAGTTGATAAATACTATGCTATTTTCACTAAAAGCACGCTTGGATAAGTTCCACAGGTACCTTCATAATAAACCAGCACGGCATAACATTGCTAATATGTTCCTTGTTGACACAATTACAAGGTGATATAATGTTAATCAAGCCCAGTCCCAATTTTCCATTATGTGCTTTTAAGTTATTACATTATACTGGTAGGGTTTAGCGAAAGACATATGAGAGGGCTTATAGTGTACAGAACCGTCTACAGTGGTCCAGTAGTTATGGTGCTCAAATGCTGACTCACAGGTCGTGGGATCGAATCCCAGCTGCCGTGGCTGCATTGTCGATGAAGGAGAAAATGCTTGAGGCCCGTGTGATTATATTCAGGTGCACGATAAAGAAGCTCCAATCATCGTCATTTCTGCAGCCCTCCACTATGGCATCTCTCCTAATCATACGATGCTTTTCGGACGTTAAACCCCAATAATAATTTCATTATTATCTAGCATACATCAATTATACCACTCTTTAGACAGTAAAGCGCAGGACAGGCAAGGTCATAGCATAAACGGTTCAACACGCTGTCAGAAGGCAGTATTTTCACAGTTAACGTATGCTCGCTTACAAAACAGCGTAAGTGCAGTGAACGAAAAACAAGCTGATTTTCCAGTAGGGTGATTGCGGGTTTTGACATTTTAAGGTCACTCAGTTTTTACCTTTTTTCAGCTTCCAAGAAAGTATAAAGAGAAACAATGACTTGGTTTAGTTTGATAAACCGTGCTCTGAAGACTCTAATGTCACAAGTCTCACTATCATAAGTTCATTATTAGTGTACAAGACCATGTTTGAATTTTTCTTTTTAAATTCTGCACCGAAGTTTCCTGCTGTGACATAATAAGTTTCAAAATATATTTTTCTTATTTTCATGACATTGGCCTGATTAAATTTTTTGAAACTTCATATGCTAGGTTAATGGTACCACAGATGACAATGTAATTCAATTTTATCAATTAGCAGCTATGCAGGACCTAATAGGCGCCTTAAAATTTATGATGTCATGGTGTTTGGTGCAGGAATCTCAAGGTGGTGTCTTCACCTGCAATTTCTTCTCACTCGTTTTCTCGCTTACCAAGCATTGTCTTGCGTTAAGAGTAGTGTTTTTGGGATTGTGAAATACAGTAGACTCTCTTTTAGATGAACTCCAAGAACCCACGATAATTCGTTCATCTTATCACAAGTGCCCCCAAAGACTAAATGCTAACATGCCAGGTATGCCAAAAGATGTTGCTTGAGAACACTGAATGAAGTATACTTACAATGAGAAGGAAAGGAACAAGAAAAAGTGTTTATTTGGCTCAGCTTGATAAAAACTATGCTTTCAAGCAAAGCATTTAGACTAATCTAACGAGCACTCGATTTTGTGAGTTATTAATAACTATACTCATGAATAAATTGCTGTGACATTTTAACAATCGAACCGTAGCACAACCATATTTTGACGATTAGAACAAAAAATAAAAAGGGAGAGATAAGCACAATTTTCCTTTAAAGGATGGAAAATTTATTCTTCTGACTGTTCACCTTCTCACAGGCTGTCGTACTGGCTTTGCCATCACTTTTGGATATGCCTCCATTGAATATTGTTACCTTGGCAAAGCTAATATACGCCAAGTTTATTATGAAAGTCTGCAAGCTTTTCTTTGAGATTCCGATATTTTCTTAATTTCAGCCCGCAGTAACTTTTCCTGAAGACATGCAACTGAAGATCTCCGTTTACACTACTCATGATCACAAGCCTCGGGCACACAAAAAAGACACAAACAGCTATATTTAGTGTGTAAAATTACCTTCCTTTGTTGTGCACTTTTATAATGAGAATGGCACATAACGATTAGCTGCATTTCACTGAGTAAAGATACGATGCACACAGGCCCTATGAAAAACGATGCAGACTGACCACAACACGTGCTCAAGCGCCATTGCATGATGGCGGTGACAATGCATCTGATTCCTCTGATGGCAGTGCTAGTGCTGCACATGTGGTTTTGGTTTAATGTGATTATAATGCACAGACAATCTTTGTTCCCGTCTTCACTTTCATATGGCTTTTTTCTTGCCCACCTTCTTTTGCATTTTCCCTCTAGCCAAGCTTTTGTGTTCTTCTCTTCTTTTGTACTCCTGCTAGGGAACTGAAGAACGTGGGGATAATACGAAAAGACGAACACTTTTTGTTGCTTTATTTGCTGATAAGGCTGGCCATTTCTCCACCCACAGGCTAGGGGTGAAGAAGATACAGTCGAACCTCGATATATCAAACGGCGCGGCGATCGCGAAATAGTTTGATATATCCAGAATTCGATATAAAAAAAAAATCACGAAAAAAGTGCGTCAACAGCTTGCTGAAAACAACCAATGAACCGTTCAAGCGTGGTGCAGTAAATACTCACTTGAAGATTCAAACATAGTATTTATTGTGTTGGTTTAAAATTATGAAAAAGAGTAGTCTGCTTTTTGTTGGCCATGGCATGTTTGACGACTGCATCCTCAATATAGTCCAGGCGATCCATAAGTGATAGGCCGGTGCCTTTAATCGCGCCGTAGTGGCGGCGCACAAGGGCCAAGGCAGCTACGACCTCAGCTGATGTCGGGAGTGGGGCACCATCAGCGCTTGCGGGATCCACTTCGGCAGAGTCTTCATTTGGCTGCTTAGCAGTAGCTTCGGCGACAATCTCCACATCCGTGAGCTCCGCCATTCGGAGTTAGGCCTGTCGCGCGCTGTCGCCGTTCGGAGTTAAGCCTGTCGCGCACCACAGCGCGCGACAGGCCTAACTCCGAACGCACGTACACTGCAAGCACAACGACCGATGCCTGCCGATGCTGCGGGGGAGGAGCTTGCAACAAGTGCGCAGTGTGCTGTTGACACCATAGAGACTGCAAAGACTACAAGCTGCAAGGCTGTGGCGTGAGTCCGGGTGTAAAGCGCGCACATGGCGCGCCCATGCCGGCTCGCCTGACTGCTTTTCCTTTCCCGGCGGCAGCGCGGGCCGCGTCCGAGACAGTTGTCTGCGTCCTTTCCCTCCTATACTTTCCTCCTCAATCTTTACCTCCCACTCCCCCTTCCCCCGTGCGAAGCCGTGTCGGTGCCTTCGTAATGAAAGACAATAACAGCTCCACGCTTTTCTCTTCACTTTCCTCAATCAAGAACCTCTACTGCAAGGCTGCGGCACATGTACGCCGCTACGTTAAAGTGGCGCTCTCGGCGCCATCGATGTGTGCAGCATTCGTAAACGCACGCCGCTCTACCGCTACTTTTGAGAGTTGCGGAAAAGCTCGCCGCCTGTCAATGGAGCGTGGGCGGTTTGGGGTGACTGAGTTCAATATATTCATTATATGTCAAACTTTGTTCGAAATAAAAAATCAATAATGCGATTTCCTGCATGATATAGGAACCGTTCGATATAGGCAATAATTCGATATATCCGTGTTCGATACATTGAGGTTTGACTGTACCAGCTTTATGAGCTGACCTTTCTTTTCCCCTTATCTAGCTTTCTCCCTCGGCAAATTGCTTTCAATTTGCTTTTAGTCTTTGTGGCAAAAAGTCCTCCCTCCCTTTTTTGCTTTCTCTGGTTTGCTTGAATGCCCCCATCAAGACTATAATGTTCATTGCGCAGAATCCCTGTCATTGTCGGCCGCTGCGATAGTTCACCTGAACAGAAAAGGCCTGTTATGTGGTTCGTCTTAAGCAGGTATTTTTTTGCATTAAGTCTATGGGAAACCAAACAAATACTCTCGTGTTGTTAATATTAAGCAAGGATTCGTCTTAACAGAGTTTGTCTTAATGGGAGTTTACTGTAGTACTTTACTAATACACGAAAAATCGTGCTGCTGTTTAGTCTCTCTTTAACCATATGAATTAAAGGGCACTCTTACTTATCTATGGCATGAGAAATGTTCATGCCTAAATGGCATGACGAATGTTCACTGCAATGCATACAAGATAGCAGTCCAGGCATGCTTTGTTCTTTCCTACTATCAATTGAAAGATGTCACATATGTAGTTAAATAACTTGCTTTCTCAGGATGTCATACAGCAATCTGACAAACAATGGCAATAACACGAGCGCCAAAGGGATAATACAAGGTACTGCCAAAGCCTCCACTGGATCTTAAAAAACCAAGAGCAAAAGATGAGGAACTGAAGGCATAGAATCCTAATCTTGAAGGCATAGAATCCTAATCTCATCTAACACAAAGGTAGTGTATGTGAGAACACGACTGTGTTTGGTCAATACACAGCTGTGACTTACCTGCAAATCTGGGATAGAAATTAAATCTGCAGCATCCTGAATTTCCGAAATAGGACAGTTTGAAGTGTCTACTTCTCCTGTGTACAAATACCTGTAAAAAGAAAAGTATTCAGACCAGTTTCTTCAAAAAGCATTATTCAGACCAGTTTCTTCAATAAGCATTGTACAAAATTTACATGTGCTCAGTCTTATACCTTCATTTCACCAGATATTACAGGACAACAATAGTAACGATGTTCCAATAAACTTAACAACTCTTCCACAATCAGGGAAATGGGCGGCAAGCGGAGCCTGGCACGGGCGTGCCTGACGTACTGGTTTTTAAGACAAAAGCCTTAGAGGCATTATCAAATGCGAAAATGGACTGTGTTGGCAGCATCAACATGACTGGCATCACCAACATGACGACATCCCTATATGCAGTCATCATGTCGTCACAGATTGCCAAAACTTTTGATGTCATCATGACGTCACATAACGTGACATCACCACATGGCATCGCCAAAGGTGGGTTAATCATGGTGGCAGTGCAAAAGCATGTGATGTGCAAGAATCTTGCAATGCCTCTGATCCTGGAGGAGTGCAAACATTCATTAGATACAGGAAGCTTTTCATTAGATACAGGAAGATTTAATTCCTCAACGCAGTTGAGGAATTAAATTTCCTCGCAGTCGGAATTTTCCTGGCATGTGGAATTTCTGATACCAAAACCTAACACGTCCAGTAGATTCCCTTGTACTCAACTAACATAAAATATTTCAATGAAGCACCTCTAGCAAGTATACTGCTTCCCAATTGTTTGTTGCATTTTCCGTAGTATGTATTAATGTGCTTGAATTGAGTTAACATTGGGCAGGCATAAGTGTGTGGCTTAGTGTTCAAGGCATTCGCTTTCAGATTGAGGGGACTGGGGTTCAAACTCTATTCCCAGAAAGAGAAATTTCTTTTGGAGTGCAGCTCTTAGGCGCCTATTTCTGCGATGAATGCTGCCACCATTGTCGATGTAACCAATGAAGGGAACGAGGATGATAGAGAGAGTGCCTCAAGAAGTTTTCTGTTGTGAGAGCCAGCGAGCAGCTGTGTTAGCACCTGAAATGCTTCATGCCTGCTCGCGCTTTTTTTTGGCAGCACAACACATGCCTCTCGTGCATGGCCACGAGAGAGTGGGTTAACCTGCGAGGCCTGGGAGAAGATGATGCATGCTGGTCAAAGGGACACTTTGTGAGTGGAGCACTTTAGTGTGCCTGTAAGGGTCCTGTAAGCACAGCATCTGCGTCAGCCAGTAGTGGCAAAAGTTGACGAAGGCACGTTCATCACTTCACGCTGACTTGAAAACTGAACATTCTATACTTGCAGTAGTGTTGTGTCACGTTGCCTTGACACATTTGCGTTTGCACAACTTATCTAAACACCTTACTTATTGAATACTGCCGTGGCAACCAAAAAGCTGCTGGCAGTATTGAAAAAATAAATAAAAATAAATAAAAAATAAACACCTGAACAGCTGCATTCAGAATTCGCATTAGGCGGTATTGTAACCATCAGTGAATTTTTATTCATCAATTATTCGGTGTGTGCCAGCTGTGGGTGAGGAGAGGTTTATGAAATTCACCATCACCAGTAACAAACTTCAGTCAATATACAAGCTTCACTTCAAAAGCTAGTGCACAGATGTATGGATGCGAATAATGGACATCATAAGGGCTATACATTATATTTGGTGCTTTTTCTACAATGTTAAAAAAATATGGTAAGTGAACTCTCACTGCTGAGTATTTAAGAAGTTAGAAGACTAAATTCTGTATCAGCAGTAGTCTTGCTTTCACTTGATATCATCTTGCAACATACAAATGAAAACAGCTCTATGTAATTCGACCACTGTGAAATTCTTTCATACTGTAAGATGCCCAAAATTTTGGACATTCTTGTACATTGACTTCATGGCCAAGGCATGTGGCAGGCCAGCGCCTCCTCTATTTTTTTTTTCAGTGCCTGGGCGAAGAAGCGGAGTACAATGAGAACTAGCTGCCCGCATTAGGGTGGCTTTCACTGCAGTAGAGTCGCCGCTGCACTGTGGCTCACTGAAAGACATGCGGGGTCTGCATTCGCAGTTCTTATATGGTCGAGTTTTTGGTCTTATTCAGTGAAGCACTAGTCGCATTTGGCAACAAGTCTTTTTCAAAGGCATGTGTTGTTCGTGGCTATTGCTGTCGAGGGGCGCCTTCACGTGTCGTCTTCCGTGCTGATATAAAAGTGCGGTCAAGAGATGCTCGTAAAATTGTTCTTGGGCCATTATGCTAGCTAGTCTAATAGTGCGTTTTTAACTGTCCATGAGTCAATTTTTGAAAGGACGATTTGCCGGTAGATAATACAAAAAGCTTGGGCGCTTAAAGAGCGCAGGTGTACCCTCATGTCTATTGGCATAGCAGACTACATGCAAGCGTAAATTGCAGGTGCTAAATAGCACGAAATGTCGCTAGACTGACCCCATGAAGATACGTGATCTTTAGTTCTCAGTGCAAATATTTCGTCATGTACATTTGTTGCCGCTCTGAGGAAGCAAGAAGTGGTGCATCAAAAAACCAGACACTTTGCCAAGTGATTGCATCATTTCATTGCCTAAAGATGCTTTATTGTGATGGTACAAAAAACATGTAAAGACAGCTCCTTCTTCTGCACACTTCTTGTAAGACTGCCCGACGTACGTGAAGAAATGCTGTTCAGTTTGTCACACTGTTGACCTTGAGCTAATATTACACACGTGAAAAATGCGGCCTGCCATCAGCGCTGTCACTTAGTAACAACATGCTTTGCAAACATGCACAGAAATATCAATGTGAGAATAGAGAGGGCATTCGGGTGAAAGCCTTAGATGCCTTAGACGCGGTTGTTTTGCACTGCCGCCATCATCTGTGGGTAGATAACGGAGGCAATGCAACACCACGTAAGGTAAAAAAAAAAGCTTTCGGAGGGGGCGGAAAAGAACAATACACGTAACAACGAATGAAGGAAGAAAAAAAAACATAGCTTTTGCCAACGATTCGTCTTAGGTAAATGCATAAGGTACCCTGTGGGCTTTTGTTTTCAAGAGCAGGTTTAGAGCACAGTGAGTCATGGCTTACATTTATTTCATCGTTTGAACAGCTCAAAATAAAAGCATTTATTGTGGAGGCAAACCCCGCGTGTCATTCATGCGCATGCCCCTCTCACAGTTTTGCATACTTTTGCGAAAGAAGCTTTTATGTGAAATTTTTAGCAGTGTCATGCTTGTCGGTAACGTTGAATGCATATTCTCATGCTACGTTCAGTCATTAGCTTAAGCTGCAAATGTAAAGAGTAGTCTGCAAATACCGATGGTACTGCATCCTCCTAGAGCTGCCGTTTTTTTGTTTTTTTTTCTATGGAGTCTTCTGGTCACAAATTACAGCTACATACTCGTGTATAGTTCGAAGTTGTATTAGGCGACCAATTGTCCAGCCTGATTGCAGCAAGCCACCTCTCCCGCACACCTGCTGCAGCTCGTATTTTATGGAACGAAAGCCTGTCAGTGTTTTTTTTTTCTTTCCGCTCGATTTGCAAAGTATAACGCAACCATATGACATGCCAGGGCAGTCGGAGCCTGTGGTTGCAAATGGCTGAAATATAAAATAAATCACGAATACCATCAAATTCAAGTGTATTTTTTGCACTGGCATCGTGGCCAGATAGACTGCATTCGGAATATATGTACCTGTTGAAGCCTGCGAGAAGCGCGAATGCACTTAAATTCCAATGTAAACATAAATTAAAGAGCGCCAGCTTCTCATAGTCTACACCCGCAGTGCTGTCACACGGCAACGGGAAGCGGCGGCGGAGCACGTACTCGACAGCCGCAGGAGAGCATTCGCCCAGGCACTAAAGAAAATATAGGAGGCGCTGGGCAGGCAGTACATACTGTAAAGGCGCCCATGTTATGAGGCATGGCCAAAAAATGGGCCGTTGGCTGCATATGAATGAATGCATTAATGGTATAATAAAGATACAGTAGTACATTACTTTCGAAGCTTTTGTGCAACATAATTGCTTTACTTTATTGCAACAGTAATTATAAGGACACTCTATCCAAATTTTTGCTGTAGGCATAGCCGTTTCTGTGATGTTTCACATACTGAAGTGCAAGCATAACAGACATTTATGAATGACTGTGCGTGATGTTGCTATGCACATATAGAGCTCTTGCAGAATTATCATGAAAGTAATCTGTCTTACATCTGTTGTATGGGAAATCATATCAGCAGTACTTCGAGTGCAGCTTCTTTATGTGTGCCTCATTGCAATGTACAATGTATAGGAGATATGCTGAAAGGCAGCACAAAAGTGCTTGCTGCCCACTGCTAACTATCTTGACTATGTCAGCACTGTGACATTGAGTGTTTGCAGTTGTCAAGTATGGTCTACTCATGTTTGTCTATGTGCTTGTGACACTATACTTGTTTATTTATTTAGCAAGCGAAATTTTGAAGCAATTTATGCAAGTAATGCCACCAACAACTTTGTGCAGTAGTCCAAACTGTATGTACTCGAATGTAATGAGAGTTTTCTTTCCAGATTTTTGCTACTTAAAAAGGGACTCTCTTGCTACAACTGAACACCGAAATTCTATTTGTTCTTCTTGGACGTAATGAAAAGTTACCCCTTGCACTACAATCATGGTCACGTTACAATCCAGTGAATACAATACTTTAATATTGCTGACTCTACCTTTTGGGTATAACAGACTTTTTGTTTGCATGATCCTACAGATTTAGCCCAATTTAGTTTGAGCCTAATTTGTAAAATCTTAATGAATACCTTTAAAAATGATTTTATGATTGTGATTGGTGTATACAACATTGTTGTCTGAATTACATGTGGCCAACAGTTGTGGCATAAGATTGTTGGCATAAGCTATAGAAGCACCTTATTATTCAGCCTTCACCTTTTGTGATACAGGAACACTGTATCAAGAAAAGGAAGTGGTCGATATACATACAACAAGACCATTCTTCTACTGCAATTATAATTAAAGCTATTGTCACTGGATCCTTTGTGTGAAGATAAAAGCTGGACTGT